CTTCTAGTAATCAGATCATAAACTTAAATTGGAGGCACATTAAGCAACCATGTGTGTGTTCTAAGTTAACGGCACGGGTTGTCGGCCTTGCTTTTGCATCAGGCGGAGCACTGCACTTAGTCGACGGCACACCGTACACAAACTTACCAGGCATCTGGAAAAACAGAGGCGCGGATAATATTTAAAAGTGAACTGCCTTGCCAGCCGCCCCGGGTATGAGCGCTTTGTACCCTGCCTTTTTACTACGAATGCAAAGGCATATGGCTGATGGACTGTTTCGGGGTGGTTTCCCATGCAAACTACCTTCAAATATTTTCTGTGAGTGCTATTAAACGGTACTGAAAGAGGATTCAGGCATAAAAGAGCTTGATGCGTGAAAAGTGTCTACCAAAGAGAAGCTTAAATAACCGAAATATAAATGAGAATGCATCACTTAGGGCAACACTGAGTGTAAACAGCCAGTGCTGACTCTTCGGAATTAGATGGAATATTTTAACCCTTGGTCAGCTGCTAGGAACTTCTACAGACATAGGACATGTGGGCCTGAATGTCAACTAAAAGTCTAATGTGCACCATTTCTGCTCGTCTCCATAAGCTCACTTCTCTATTTAACACAAGATTTAAGATAAAATACTGTTGGGTGGGATGAATTTTGGAATATCTTCTAAAATCGTTAGCGGAATGGTTGTTAGGTAAACAACTAGGACTATCGTGAACACTTCAGTACTTTACCAGACCCCTACGTGGTGGCATGCACCAAAATGTTTGAGCCAATGCATAATTTACGAAAAAGTTAAACAAAGATCACTTTTATTTTTGGTTTCTAAGGGCTTTCAATAGTTAACCCTAGGTCCCTTGAGAACACGACAGATAGTCGTGTGAAGTTATTTAAAAATTTAAAAGCATAAAATGATTTAACGTTCTGAATACTGAAGGCTGCTAGTATCGTTACCTAAATTTGCTATTGCACAAAAATAAAGACAGAAACGGTTCGGGCTTAAAAAAGTTAGGGATCCCTTGTGAATGGTGTTGTCGAGCCCCAAAAGAGCAATATTTTAGTTGATTTCTCATTGACCAACCAGGTTTGTCGAACATGACGCCGATTTAACTAGGTGACTGAGCTCCAGCATATTTTATACGCAAAAGCTGACGGTTGCCAAGAATCCTATTCCATTCCCCTTAGTCAAACTACTACAAAAGGAATGAAGCAACTTTGTCAACAGGTGAATAGCTTCCGGCTTTTTTCCCCTTCCAAACGTTAATTTAACTGATTTGGCTCAGTTCATTAATCGTTAATTAAGCACGTAAAGGAGGAGATTAAGCTAGCTCGGAAGTTATTTTAGGTGAAGGCCGAACAAGACCAACACCTACCCATGTTGCATCGATCCGCGCTTTTGCGTCTACAACTGTGACGCTTTTGCCGCCAACATGTGTCCTCCGCCTAACTGTACCTTTGTACATCATCACAATCGCGATCTGAGCGCTGTGAAGAAAGAAGGCAATCGCAAAAGTATACATCCTGAAAACAAGTCACCGCCGAATAGCCAGTAGTGTCTCTCCTATAGATGACTGGCAAGAAAAACTGACGAGTTTGAGCCTGAAGGCCGAAAAGGAACTGAAGCAATAAGAATTCAAGGCAAATAAGGACCAGAGGTCATCCAGGTAACTGGTGTCTCCACCTTTCTCTTGGGGATTTCTATCGAGCGACGGGTGAATGTGCAAATATACCAGAGTACGCAGCTACACTGTACATACACAGCGCTGACTTGCACTTTTAAAAGGGACGTAAAATACTATAGCGATATGTTAGATGTTAACTAGTGAAATGACCATGGGATCTGCTTAAGGACGAACAGGAAAGTATGCACAGAACAAACCGAACACCTCATATTCGATCACAACAAGACCCGTATACACGTGGACATGAACAATTATGTTGACCAGTTAATTTCTTCGTGAGTTATGATCATTAAAAGATTTCGGAGTTAACACCTTTACTATTAACTCGACTGCACTAGCATTTTGGACTATCTGCTGGATTGAGATCAGAATGGTTAGCGGCTAAATAATTAGAACTACCGCGAATCTTCTTCCCAATTTCTTCCTGGGACTCGCATGTTCGCTTGTATTGGCAATATTTTGGTACTGTAGCAAATGCCTACTTGATGTTATGCACATTCGTATTTGAATTGAAACACGAATATCTTACATTTAAAATAAACGTCAGGTCTGATTCCCGTTTTGTAAGACTTCTTTAAACTTTATCCTCAGGCTCCGAAAGAGCACCGCTGATAGTCTTCATGAGCGCATTTACAAATTTGGAAGTAGAAGAAGATGTACCATTCTGACTGCCTCGTGCTCATAAAATTGTGAATTAAATTCGCATTATGCAAAAATGGGGGCAGAAATGACTCGAGATTAGAAAAAGTTAAGAGCCATTTGTGAGCCACGTGGTGTATATGAGCCGCAAAAGGACAACGTTGCATTTGAATTCTCATGGGCCAAGCAAGGTTCTACTTCTGTCTACGTGGCGTCGATCGGTGAGTTTGCGCCTACACATGTAACGGTTTGGCCGTCACTCTGTGTGTGTTTCCGCTTAAGTGAACCTTTGTGCACCGTTGCAAACACGATTTGAGCGTGGAGAACAAGGAGGGCAATCGTAAAACTATACAGCCGGAAAACAGCTCACCCGTGAATGGTCAGTGGTTTGACTCCTATAAATGACTGGCAAGCAAAAACAGCCGAATGTGAACAGTGGAGTATAGCCCAAAAACCGGAGAATAAACAAGGCAATCAGGCAAATAAAAACGAGCATTCTTCCTGGTAGCTTGCTGCTCCAACTTTCAATTAGGAGATTGACAAGAAAATAAGATTAACACCGATGGATGGATTTACAGGTATTCGGGAGTACGCGGCTATATTTTAAACACAGGGCTGGCGTGATACACTGGGGCGAGTAGTTAGACTCATACGGATGAGCAAACAATTGTATATATCAGCCAACGGCTCTATCAACAGGGCGAACACTTCATACTTTAGTGACATCCAGCTTCGAATACTCTTGGACATGATTAGTTCTGGTAATCAGTTCATGGTCTAGTGATTGATAATCATCAAGAATTATAAACAGCTCGGTGAGGGCAGGAGTGAAGTTACGATCCGACAGGTAAAATATTCACTAGTAACCGGATTGAAAGAACAGGTAGCATACGGCGAATTGTTAAGATTATTTACATATAATTTCCTCCGATCTGTGGGCACAGTTCATTGGAAAAGCAAGCATTCGGGTGAAGAACATGTGGACCAGGCAACGACAAACCAATTATCGTCCAGGTAAATGACACCGGTTGGACATAAGGTTTACTTTTAGAACACAGGCGTGATACTAAACTGAAGTGTGGTGCGAGACTAGCAATAGAGGTGATATACCTCTTTTCGTGTTGTGCAAAGCCCCTACCAAGTGCAAGCTGTGTTCAGTTGATGAATGA